TTACGGGGATAAAACAATGACTGTCGGCTCCGAGTGGGGTGTCCATGTCAGTGGGCCTGCACTATGACCCAAGCATTAGTCCGGATTACAACAAGCAGACACACACGTACATGCACGTAAGTGCAACAGTCTTGAACGTGACCTTTAGCCCCATTTCACCTCACCTCACCTTTAATATTACTATGGGTCCACTTATTCGTCATCATCATCATCCTCGTCGTCGTCACTATCATTAACTAGACCCATCCCAGGTACATAATACACCCTCGTTGGGAGAAGCACCGAGTAACCCAATATTGACGACCATAATTGCACACAGAATTAAAAATAATAAACTACGTTTATGGTTTACAGGCAAAAGGTTCAAAACTATTACAATGTATTAAAGAATGTTTTTGTTTGAATTTCATCACAAGCAATCATGGCAATTTTAGATGCAAAAAATTATGTTCTAAAAGCCCAAACAGAAGTCTAATTGTTAGTAGGCTATCGTGACGGCGCGGTGTACCTGGGAATGCAGAGTGACAAAGGACGGACACATTCATTTATTGCATGTTTTAAACCTCCGTGGATGCGTCAATAATAACACACATGTGACGTTGACAGGATCAATCTACTGCTTCATAATTGCTTACACAACACGTTTTCTGGAACACCAAAACAAGTTTCTTCTAAAATATTTCATGCATTTCCAAACAACATTCAATGTTATTGTCTTTTCAAATTATCATGAATATTCGTTTTAGAAAATCCAGTCTGAAGCTGGTTGTTCCAAAACCTTCGACATTTCTGTTCAAAATTACCCCAAAATTTTGTTCAAAAACAACAGATGCATTCGTCCTAAAATAGATATACCAGTTCCAAAACATTCGATATGTTTGTTCTAAACAGCCAACACATTAGTTGTAAAATGTCAAATATAATTATCGTTCTAAAATATCTTACATGCATTTTCTGAAACCTTGAAAATACTCCAACCTAAAACGTACGAGTATTTGTACTTGACTAAGACAGTATACATTTGACCACTTTCTGAAAGGAACTGCGTGTTCAGTGAACATACTCGTATGTATTCTGAACTGTAGCACGAACAAAACGTTCATGCTGATCCATGTTCTGGTGAGCTAAAATCTCACCCACCAACCTCACCGGTGTAATGCAGAATAAGACCCTGTTCGTAAAGTTATTGGGGGCAGTTTACTCAGGTGTCACGGATTCAGATGACGATGTGCGGAGCATGAGTATCACATGATCATGGAGGCACAAATATGTACAGTATGCCTTAAAACTAATATTTAAATGAACGCGAAACACATGTTTCATCGACATGAACATATCTTCTGTACATATAAATATTACAGTGTGCCTTACAACTAATATTAATATACGACTAATATGTTAATGAATGCGAAACACATATGTTTCATCGACATGAGTGTGACATATCTTCTGTACATATAAATATTACAGTGTGCCTTACAACTAATATTAATATACGACTAATATTTTAATGAATGCGAAACACATATGTTTCATCGACATGAACATATCTCCTGTACATATAAATATTACAGTGTGTCTTACAACTAATGTTTATATACAACTTATATTTTAATGAATGCGAACAGATCTGCTTCATCGACATGGATATATGTTCTGTGGTGTCCATCATGAGAGATTCACGCTGTGGCGTCAGGAAAAACAAGTTGACACGTTGAGAAATCCAATTGTCACAAGTTCTGAGATCATTATGGACTTCATAAATGGACAAAGAATTGACGAAACGTCTATCGACTGCGATGCTGTGAGGTGAGGTGAAATGGTATTAAACGTGGCACTTATAAAGTGCGTGTGTGCGTGCGTACGTGCGTGCATGCGTGGCTACTTGTACTTAACTGGACCTATGTCGGTTTTACAGTGTTAGCCCAATGAGATACCATGCCACATTTTTACATGGATATAACCCACTCAGACAGAACCAAATTCAAGTGAACCCTTCTGAAACGCACTGCTCCATAATACCCCAGTGCCGATTTGTTGTGTTTGTTTGTTGTGTACTCAGAAATAGATCAGCTATATGACGGCGGTCTGTAAATAAACGAGTCCGGACCGGACAATCCAGTGATTGGCATCATGAGCATCGATATACGCAATGACATCCATGAACCAAGTCACCGAGCCTGACCAAGCAATCCCGTTCGTCGCTTCTTTCGACAAGCACGCGTGGGTTGCTGAAGATCGCTATCTCTATCCACGAAGTATCAGCTCCCACAGATACTGATGACAATCAGAGCCATCAAGAACCATCCGTCAATTGCAGCAAGGCCGCCTGGGCTGACCCTACCTTAAAGGCTCTCATATGTTCCTGGTAATGTTGTCCATTTTCAGTTCAAATTCTAAAAGACTGTGATGATACCAGGTGTTCCCGGAAAGATGAACATCTGTCACCAACACACGCAGAGACAGCAATGGTCACATGAACAAACAGACCGCCTCCGTGGTCTAGTGGTAGAGCGTCCGCCCGGAGAGCGGAAGGTCCGTGGTTCGATCCCCTGCCATGTCATACCAAATGACGTTAAAAGATGGTACTTGTTGTTACCCTGTCTGGCGCTCGGTATTAAGAGGCTAAAACAAGGACTGGTCGGCTCGGAGTCAGTATACTGTGTCTGAGTGGGGTATTCATGTTAAACTGCGGTATGGTATCTCAGTGGGCTAGCACTATAAATCGGCATCAGTCCGGACTAGTACAAGCAGCCACACAAACACACACACGTACATGCACGTCGCTATATAAGTGCAATAATCTTGGACGCGACGTTAAACCCAATTTCACCTCACCTCACATGAACAAACACGGGCACATTTGGTACATGTCCAAAAAAGGAATTGTTTTAGACATCAGTTTGGTCACTGGTAAGTCAAACTTGAAAATGTTACCTACATATCTACCATGATGGATATAAATGAAGATTCTTGGTCAAATATTGATGATAACACGTGGAAAGGTGAGCGTATCCTGCCCCACATTGACACCCGTCACAAACACATGCAGAGGCATCGAGTGGTCACCTGAACGAACACGGTAACATCTGATACCTGTCAAAATAGGAAATTTATTTTCAGTGAAATTTGTCTTCCATCATCAATATACCTGGAACTTAATTTTAAGCTTTATGTTTCTAGGTTTGTCAGCACCAAACACGTGCTCATGAGTTTCACTGAAGTGGTAAACGTTTAAGATCTGCTTCGGGTTTTCCTCCCACGCCATGTTGACACGCCGTGATTTAACTGAAATGTTTTACCACACTCACTCACTCAGTTCTAATCAGTAAGTGATTTGTTTGAAACATAAACAATGTACTTATTGTTATCATTAACTGTTAGACTGATATACATGTACACAGTCGGGCAAAAGAAAGATGTGAAAATTGGATTTCATCAAAATATTACAAACGTTATTAAAACGTTACAAGGCTGAAAACAGTAGCCGAAACACTGCAAACGTAAGGTCTAAAAAACAACAACTATATTTGATACCAATATCAAATACTTCACCATAGAATAACCATTTCTTGTTTGTTTACAGCCACCAACAAACATGGGTGCATACTTTCTTTTGCCCGGCAGTTTATATTGTAGTATTTGAGTTGAACTATAGCAATATTCCAGCAATATCACGGCGGGGGACACCAGAAATGGGCTTCACACATTGTACCCATGTCGGGAATCGAACCCGGGTCTTCGGCGTGATGAGCGAACGCTTTAACCACTAGGCTACCCCACCGCCCCAGTTGAGTGAGTGAGTTAGTGAGTATGGTTTTACGCCGCTTTTAGCAATATTCCAATTTTTCATTGCTTAAAGCGGCGTAAAACCATACTCACTCACTCACCTTCGAATGTGTTATCTGATCGTTGTGACTGTGAGAAATCCATCCATACCCAAACATAATATTACCTCTTTTGATTAGTTTAATTCTCTTATTTATTTGATTGTTTTCTTTGTAGTGACCGGTGTGGTGTTAAATTACACCCCTTTTGTAAGTAAGTGAGTGAGTTGGGTCTTACGCCGCTTTTAACAGTATTCCAGTTATATCACGGAGTGTCAGCTTAATGTGGTAGGAAAGCCCGAAGTGATGCAGGTCTCAGACATTTACCACTTCAGTGAAACCCACGAGCACGGGTATGGTGCTGACAAACCTAGAAAAATAATCGGGGCAAATCGGGATTCGAACCAACAATCATAGGTTTCTGGCGTGCCCAAGGAACGCAACACTGCACAGCGAATCGCGGCGCCTTTGACGACTGGGACACCCGTGCCCCCTTTTGTAAGTTTATCGCGTTACACAGAAGGATTTAGGTCACGTTGAGTCATTTTTCTCTGTTCACCAGACATTAATTCTTATGCTCATATATGCTGAGAGTTATGCGATGAAAACAGATGCGATTGGTGCCTCAAACATTGAAACCATGTGGGGAATCAAACCCGAACATTTGGGTGACAAGGCTAGATCAACTATCCCAATTAAAAACTGAATTGCGGTTGACATTCATACCTGAAAAACAGTCAAGCACTGGAGTAACCAATCGATATGTGTTAAAATATTAAGACCCATGAACGGCATGACAACAGCTGCCTCAACAATATGTGTTTGAAACATGCTTTCGTCTACCTCACATCAACGGCTGACTTTACCCACCAATTTACACTTGCACAACAATTACGTGGACATTCTTCACGGTTTGTCACACTGGAGACGTAGAATGAATAGTATTGTATTGACCGTTGTCGTTGTATCCCATCCGCCTTCTGTTCTTGCCACCCAGGACAGGCAAGATGATAAGCATACCAGATCAACGACTGCCCACTCCCAACCCGCCTCAACACCCGTCCCGTTCTCCCTAATGCACAACGACGATCAGATCCCGTATCAAATTACTGCCTTAGTCACCAAGCCTCAGCGAATATCACGCAGTACAGAGGCCGTCATAACCACTCACGTATGTCACACATATAAGGGAGTCAACTGCATGGCGGACGCTTATCTCCTCTATCAGTTATTGGGCATGACGTCATACGTCATACAATCGACATTGTCCAATATATATGTGCCCAAGAGTTAGTGTAGGGGCCAGTACTGTTGTAGAAGTCTTGTGTAGTCTGTAAGCGTCATACAAGGAAGGAAATCGCCGGGCGGTGACTGTTCGCTTTATCAGCTCTACCATGGTGCTGAAGACTTGCCTTCTGCTGTGCGGCCTACTGGGGAGCGTCACCCCCCATGGATATCTCTCCGTCCCCCTTCAACGTTCAAGTATGTGGCGTGGAGGGTTCGCCGTCCCTGCGAATTACGACGACAATGGTTTGCGGTGTGGCGGTCCCACGGTATGTACGGAGTCGCTCTTAGATTGTATACAGTGAACACCCCGTTAATCCGGAAAGCCTGTATTCCGGGAGATCTTCATTATATACCCACGAGTCGATAATCGAGTTCGCTATGTGGTTTCAACACTGCCGATGCGACGTTACCTTGTAACACCCGATCATCTGGATATATGTGAATCCGGACGATTCCAATGGGCGTCCTCCAGATAAACGAGGTTCCGTTGTTGATTCCTTGCGATAATGTTATCAAAATTGATTTTAAGACTTTGTATATCAATATTATTACATACAAGTACCTATTCATGAACTGCCAATACCTTAGTTTACAGTATGCGATATGCTACTGGTAGACAAGCTTTCATAAAACATAACAATATTTTCTAAGCTTTTACTTATTATACAAACATTTGAAAAAAAAAAAATTCCCACTGTTCTATCATGTGTCGCCGTAACAGAGAATCACTGTTATTTAAATTCAATTCTACATTTACCTCAAGCTTTACAGCATATCAGAAAATGAATATACATTTCAAAATACAATATTGCCCCCCCCCCCCCCCCCCCCATACACACACGGTTTTTGTGTAGGATATACAGTAAACTACGGTTAAAACGAACTCAAAGGGACCACTAATTTTAGTCCGTTGTAACCGTTGTTCGTTATAAACATATATGCACCATATATACAGCAAATGGCTTGGACCAAAAAAACAGTTCGTTATATCCGAAGTTCGTCATAAGCGTGTTCGTTATAAACGTAGTTTACTGTATAGTAATAAACTGGCATATGCTACAAGTTTCAAATGGAGAATACACATACATGTATGTACTTCACTCACATCTGAACTTTCCTCCCACATTAAGCTTACACGCCGTGATATAACTGGAATACTGTCAAAAGCGGCGTTAAACCCAACTCACTCACTCACACTCACATCTGAACTTATTTGCATGATGCAGACACTTCCAAAAGTTATATAACTGTTTTACATTCTGTGACATTTGTTTTAGGACAGTTTGAATCGGAATGTTTCAACAATTTGGCATCATACATTTCTTTCTAATTTCCAAATATAATATTACACGTGCCGCAAATCATACAATATAGGTACGAACCCTCTTGCGGCACGTTTTCCAACAAATTTGATATCATTCACTTCGGTGTGGGTTCAAGATAATGTTGGCATGACACCAAATTGTCCATTCGTGAACAAATATTGGATAGTTTAAACAATAGAATGTAATGACGTAACAGATGTGGTTTTAACATAGTGAGTGAGTTGGGTTTAACGTTGCTTTTAACAAACAGTTATTCCAGTTACATCACGGCGTGTCAGCTTAATGTGGGAGGAAAGCACGAAATGATGCAGGTCTCGAACGTTTACCACTTCGGTGAAACCCACAAGCACGGGTATGGTGCTGACAAACCTAGAAACATAATCGGGGCGAACCGGGATTCGAACCCACAATCATAGGTGTCTGGCGTGCCCAAGGGACGCAACTCTGCACAGCGAATCGCGGCGCCTTAGACGACTGGGCCACCCGTGCCCCCAGTTTGACATAGAGAAAATGGCCTGAGCAGCATGTGGCTAGAAACTGATCATAAATAACGGGCAAACAGGGAATCTATACATTATACAAATAATTAATCATAGCAAGGTCTTTTTTCAATAACAGGGCCCCGAGGACCCAACCCCTGAGGTTGTCTTTGTTTTCGTATAATGACCTCGCCAAGAATAATCGATTTTTTTTGTTTTATCGAAATTTTATTTTATAAAGTGCATATTTTCATTTTTATGAAAGAAATATCGGCGAAACGTGTTTTGTCACTTACAGACGCCATATTGCTTTTAATCAGACGAGTAAAAAAATACAGAGATATAATATTCAACGTTATGAAAAAAGAATGAATGTTAAAAATAAAGGTCATTATTTACATATTTCACTGCCAATGAAAAACTCGCAAACAAAAGACGTCATATGTAAAGAAAGAGCAATGTGTACTAAAGAACGCCAGTGCACAAAAAAGACACTACAAACTGCTACAGGTCAACGTTGACAATAAAGAACGCCAGATGGCGCTGCAAGTTGTGAGCTCCAACTATCAGATCACGTGATTACCTATTCAGACAATCAGCATGAAAGAAACAGTGTAAACTTTAAGGAATGAAATTATATAACAAAGACAACTGTCTAAACTGCGGGTACGAAGATCTCTGCTGATCATTTTCTGTGCGTGTTTTTTTTTATTCTTGAATGCAATGTAAGATTTTCGTCGATAACATCTTGGGTCTCATGACCCGAAAACCACAAACAGTTCACTCAGGCGTACTGTTACATCAGGTTGACGTGCGTACCGAGTTAATCGGTTTAAATCTGTAATCTCGCGAGAGTTGATTGTTGTCCTTGTTGCCCTCACACGGTCACGGTGACCTGGAATATGTGCGCATTAGTGAGAAGCGTATTGATGAATAGGTTACACTCATTATCTTGGAGGAGTGGGGGCGGTCGGGTAGCCTAGTGGTTTAAGCGTTAGCTCGTCACGCCGAAGACCCGGGTTCGATTCCCGACATGGGTACAATGTGTGAAGCCCATTTCTGGTGTCCCCCCGCCGTGATATTGCTGGAATATTGCTAAAAGTGGCGTAAAACCATACTCACTCACTCACTCACTTGGAGGAGTGGTTGCTTTGAGTGACTGAATAGACCGGTGAATGATTGAGTGTGTTTGTGGCCGGGTGAGTGAGGTGAAACGGAGTTCTTCTTTTACTGGATTGAGTGAGTGATAACCACAGGAGACACAAGCAATAAGATGCACACATTCTAATCATATGTGTAAACAACCCGGACTTCCGAGGCATCACTTTACCATCTAGGATCCAGGCTACTCCGTGTGATTGTTGCCGAGTAGATTTTCTAAGAGATAAATTTCTTACACCCCGCCACGAAAAGGTCAGGCTGCACGTGGATTTCTGAGAGGCTGAATAAATCCCTTATACCCCACATCATGGCAAAAAGCCGCACGCTTTTTTCCGAGTCAATGGAAGTTACGTGACATAGCGCCAGCTAACCCCAGCTCATTCGAACAGCTGTTTTCTATCTATTTTTAATTGTCGAAGTACGAATGTTCAGTGTTGTATCAACCCACCCACCCACGCACGCACGCACGCGCACACACACAGTGAGAGTTGTATATATTTGACGAAAGGTGAGAGCATAGAGCGACGGAATCCACATGAACACGAACCACCATATAAACTGCCGGGCAAATAATCGTGTACACCTATGTTTGGTGGTGATTTATAATGAAAGGAAGAAAAACTGTTCATTCGACGGTGATGTATTTCATGCGGGTTTTAAAGTATTTTAGACCTTATGTTTGTAGAATTTCGGTGACTGTTTTCAGCTTTAGAAAGTTTTCATAATGAATTTGTTGGTCAAATCCAATTTTCAAGCGTATACTTTCTTTTGCCAAAAACACATTTAAAGGTCTCGGGGGAATATATATACCAATGTTTGGTGGTGATTTATAATGAAACGAACAAAAACTGTTAATTCAACGGTGATGTATTTAATGCGGGTTTTAAAGCATGTAGACCTTATGTTTGTATGATTTCGGTGACTGTGTACAGCCTTGGAAAGTTTTCATAATGTTTGCAACTTGTCGGTCAAATCCAAAGTTGCGTCCCTTGGGCATGCCAGAAACCTGTGATTGTGGGTTCGAATCCCGGTTCGCCCCAATTATGTTTCTAGGTTTGTCAGCACCATACCCGTGCTTGTGTGTTTCACCGAAGTGGTAAACGTCTGAGACCTGCACTTCTGACAATAGGTTGTAAAAAATATCATCATTACTTAAATCTTTTTGGGCTTATCGTGGGTTATCATGTTGTTTCGTAAACCAACACGAGTGGTTGTGAGATTCCGCTGACGCTAATAGACCGCCTCCGTGGTCAAATGGTAGAGCGTCTGCCCGGAGAGCGGAAGGTCCGGGGTTCGATCCCCGGCCACATCATACCAAAAGATAGTACTAGGACCCCATAAATAAACCCCATTTCACTTCACCTCACCTCACCTGTCGCTATTACTGGTAGCTTAGGTTGTTTTGCTATTTCTGGTGCAGGTAAAAGACATGCGCGAAGGTTCAGATTTTGTAATTTATGTCGGATGTCATTCAAGCCATGTGTCAAACCTTTAATACCACAACTAATTTTACTGAATAAATAGGAAAAGCAGTCCTAATCCATCTATGCATTCCTATTCAAGTTTTTCCTTTTAATAGTCAAAAGAATCACAAGTGAAATTGAGATTTGTGACATGTCAGTAATTACTGAATCGAGAATGTTTGTTGTCATTCTTGTCGGTATTAAAAGTTCTATTTCTGCAAATAAGATTTGTCATGATCTTGAAGTTCGAGTTTCAGCAAACACAGTGACAACCACCTGTTAGGAAGCTGCGATAACCCACTGTATTGTCCAATGGTTGTGTATCTAAACACTTCGAAGAGATGACTTTTTATTATCCGGATTCTCCACCAACTGACGTAGCTTGTGATTGGGAACCGTTTTGCCTAGCTCTGGGCGTGGTGCCGTTTCCTACGACACAATGACCAATATAGTGGGGGAATTAACTTGGAGGAGCTGATTACTCGGCTATCACCTTTAAACAGAGAGAAGGCTGTTGAGTCCCTTTAAGTCTTTATTCGTGGCAGAGTGAAAGTTCGTACATAAAGAGATATTCAAACAATATTACAATACAAGATAGATGCAGTCAATGACTTGTTACTTTAAATATAATTGACAACCATATATGAATAGATAGTGATTGGTTTGAAAGTTTCTTAACAGGATTGTTCTAATAAATTTGATTTCAACATATTTTATTGCGGAAAACCAAATGGATTAGGCACAAGTGACACACTTACGAGGCCTTCTCCTATATACATTTCGTTACATTGTGGTATGTGAATTCTGTGGTGCAGAATAAATGTACAGCGCATAGGAA